TGTATTGACAAAAAGCATGCTGATAGGAGGGGGGAGCAGAGTGACAGAGATGAGCTCAACACTGTGCTGCTTCTCAGTTTACTGTCCTGCCACAAACTTGAGTGAGTCCAGGATGACCAGGGCTCAGTGGAAGTGGGTTGAATGATGCTGGCTCAAATGCAGTCTGGATCAGACTGAGGGTATCTTGCAGCAGAAAAAGTACTGCAGAAGAAATCTCAGAATTAAAGATGAATATTACAGCAAAAACTGGTTTGTTTATTTTAACCTTTAATGAGCTATTAATTTTTATCTTTTTATTTTGGGCTGGAGCTTTACTTTAAAATGTTCAACAAGAAATTTAAAAAAATGTCCCTTCAAAATGCCTTTCATACATGAGACATGTAAGTGAATTATTCCCAAACCATCATCTGGTCACTTTATGAGCTTATTCAGCCCTGCTCCAGCCAATATGTTTTAGTTTATTTTGGATAGAATGGGCAATGGTTAGAGCCTCTGTCAAGCTTTTAGGGCTCATTCACACTGGAATTGGCCGGCACGTACAGCTCCGTGCTGCGTGGAGGGCCGCATCGGGCAGCTCCCCGGAAGGACAGGTGTTACGTGTGATTAGTACGCAGCCCCTGTCCTTCTCTATGGGACTTTGCGGCCGTACGCTCACCCACCCTGCACATCCGTATGGGTACTCGTACGCTGACAGGACGGATCCTTTGTGCATTCGAGCCAGGAAACACGCACCCGTACGGACCTGCAAATGAGGTGAGCGTAGGGGGGCGTACAGCCGCGTAGTCCCATAGAGAAGGACTGGGGCTGCGTACCAATCACACGCAGCACCTGTCCTACCCGGAAGCTGTACATGCCGGGAGGCGGATACGGCCGTGCACGCAGCACGGAGCTGAACATGCCGGACGATTGTCGTGTGAATGAGGCCTTAATGGTGTCGGTGTGCGTTTCCCCTCACTTCCTGAGATATTTTTTCCATTTTGGATAAAGAAAGGAATGTTTAAAACCCCTGTCATTTTTTTCCCCATCATTGTTCCATTGGGGAGATTTCTTTCAATTCCTGTCCTATAAACACAATAGGAAGTAAAAGGAAATATCTCCAAAGTGAGGAAAATGCCCTTACTTCCAATTCCAATTGTCACTGGAACAAGCGTCCCCACTAGGTGAGTTTCCTAGAGTGGGGCCTCATGTTTAGGTTTCGCCTAAGGCCTCGCAAACTCTAGAGCCGCCTCTGTTCCTCCATTTCTATGCTAGTGACAATTCAGAATGTTTGGATTTTCCCATCACTTTTAGTCCCTGTGACAATGGTTACTAGAGCCAATAGTCCCTAATGGGAACACAGATATCAATAAAAATCTGACCACATCTGACAAATGAACCAGCACCATTGTGTGTGCAGAAAAAAAAGGGAACAATCAGTCAAGATACAACTCTACAACAATCCCTTAACAACAAAAAATGTCCGCACTACTATGTGGTAGAAAAATATGTGAAACAATAAACTTTCTTAATATATACAAAATGGAAAAAAAGAAGCCTGGGTTTGGTTCTCATAGACATTCTCTGAACCCAGCCAGAAATCCGGGTTTGGCAAACGTCCAAGCAAACGAAACCCAGGGGCCCCTGTGTCCTAGCCATAATGTCATACAGCATCATTGGTTGCAAGGATGCTAGCAGCTGAACCGCATAGTGTCATTGGTTGCTAGTAGGGATGTTCAGATACCAAGTACCGTACTCGGTACAAGTACAAGTACACATAGTTTTTTAGCTCCAAGACTAGGCTAGAGACAAATTTAAAAGTTAAGAGGCAGCTGTCATTTTTAACCTCTTGAAGTCCGTGGTGTTAAACCCCCTTCCCATCCAGGCCATTTTTCAGTATTTAGCGCTGCGGTACTTTGACTGACATTTATTCCGTCATGCAACGCTGTACTGAAATGAATTTTAGACCCTTTTTTGGGGACAGATAGAGCTTTCTTTTGGTGGTATTTATTCACCACTGGGGGTTTTATTTTTTAATATATTAAAGAAAAACTTTCCACTATATTAAATTCTAAAACATTTATTATTACCCAATTTTTTGGTAAAATATAAAAGACGGGGTCACGTCGGGTAAAAAGACACCAAACATGTCAAGCCTTAAAATTGCGCACACGCGCAAAACCTCAAATAACTACATTACCCAAAATTGGCCATAGGCGACGCTTTAAGAGAACTGTATTCGTGTATGTCCTCGCCAGATGTAAGCTGATGAAGCACAGATCTGCTTCATCAGCTTCTTCTATCTGGCTATAGCAGCCAGATGACTGTCAGGTGAATGCGGAAGGCGTTCCTCCTAACGCCCTCCCGAGCCGGTCCCGGGCCGCAGATGGGCTAGCGGATCCCGGGATTGAAGGTGAGGGATCAGGAGGAGGGGCCGAAAAAATCACGCCATACAACCGATCGGCGGCTATAGAGCGGGTCTTTCCTGCCCGTGTGCGCGCGCTAGGGGGGCGTGCGCAAGCAGGAAAAAAATGCCGTCTGGAGACGGCAACCCGCTGAAGCGAGTCTGCCGTCCGTCCGGTTTTTCTTAACGGGCGGAAGGCAGGAGGTTAAAGAGCATTGGATACGGGGCTCCTGGGAATTGTGCATCCCTGTTTTAATGTATGATTTGTTTTTATATAAATATATATTAGGAATGCACCGATACTATTTTTTCAAGTACAAGTACTGATACTTGTCCAAGTCCTCACAGACACCAGTACTGACACATTTTTGTTTATGGTCATGTGACAGTTTTTCAGAAACAATACAGACTAATGACTTCAGGACAGTGGTGGAGCGCCAAAGCTAGGTCCCAGCTGCAACCCTGGTAGTTCTTGTGAAAAAGCCAAGTGTTGCCACTGGTATCTGAACATCCCTTGTTGCTAGGATGCAGACGGGTGCACCATATCAACCAGTGGCGCTGTGGGGCCTGCCAGCCTCTAAGCAACCAATGATGCTCTGCGGCCCAGCCATTGGCATCCAAGCAACCAATATTTCTGTGCAGACCCTTCAGCATCATTGGTTGCTAAGACACAGACAGAGGTTCAGCAGGTGGCCAAATTGGCCAGTCTTAAAGACCCCCAAAGCGTCATGGTAAGTCCATCTTGTCATAGCAACCAATTACGCTGTGTGGCCCAGCCAAATGCACTGTGCTGGATGCTGCACAATGGCTTAGTGGTTAGCAGTGCTGCTTTGTAGCACTGAGGTTCTTGATTTGAACCCAAGTTTGGCCAGGATACCATCTGCATGTTCTCCCTGTGCTTGCATGAGTTTTTCCCACATGCCAAAGATATGCTGGTTGGTAATGTATGCATTTGAGATTGGAACCTTAGGCTGTAAGCAACTTGAGAGCAGGGGCTAATGTTAATGAACAATATGTAAAGTGGGGTGTAAATTGATGGTTCTATATAAACACCACTAATAATAGTACCATCCACAGGTTGCTGTCCGGGTTCACCCAAGGCTGAGTGATGCATAGAACCCAGCTTGTGAGGCATTTAATAACGGTCTACCATGCAAAAGTATATCTGGCAGGCAAAATATTTACCTTTTTTAAATCTATGCTCCCAGTTAACCACCAGCCAGCTTTAAACTCCCTTGTCCCTGATCCAGCAAGATCTTTGCTGTGCTGCCTCGTTGGCCCTGAACAGTCGCTTTTAAAAATCCTCTGTGCTGGGCCCACACATTCACAACCCAATCTCTATTCAGTCCTATAGAGGGCTAGTACTCTGCACTCCAGCAGAATGTAAACTCTTTATAATATTTAATAGATGTCGCAGTGTGCATGTGTGGGCCTGGCACTGAAGATTCTGGCCAGTGCCCACAAGTCCTTACAGCCTCTATCTCAATGTGGGGAGATTAGGTATGGCGTTCGGCCAGTTAGTAAAAGAAGTGTAATTGCACTCAAAATATTTTTTTTAAATCATCAAATAACACTATAAATCTTTTCCTATTTACTGGTCTATGTCAGCTTTATTTTTGGGCACATGTGCATATAAAACTAGGCAATGAGAAGGGATGATTGGAAAAGTTTAAAAGAATAATAATATGAAATGCTACTATAATAATATGCCAAGAGTTGCAAAATAGAGAAAATGCAGTGCAGAAACCATGCACTGTCCTTACAACCTGGAACCCAGCAAGAAAAGAAAGTCAGCACTATCTCAGGTGAATCCAGCATCATACTTGTAAAATTTGCATTTACTCAATTCCAGCTTCAGCCAAATTGTTTTGTTTTATTTTAGATAGAGTTGAGAAGGGTTAGAGCTTCTGCTAGGTATTTATTGTCATCAGTGTCCCTATTGGTGGAGATTTTTTATCACTTCCTGTCAGGACAGGAAGTAAGGGAACATCTATCTAATAGGGACGCAGACAAAAACACATTTTTAGAAGAGTGCGGAAGAGTTAGAAATCCTGAAAATGTTTTTATTTTTTCCTATTTTTTTTCTTCTTTCCTATCCCGGCATTGACCGCATCTTCCAGTTCAATGGGTCATAGACATAGCAAACCCTGATAAAAAAAAAGTATAATTCTTTCCCCACTCTATCCAGAATCCCCCCCAAAATTTGTTAGGCTTCCCTTCACTTAGTTTTCGGTTACCTTATCCAATGTGTCTCCACTAAATGCTTGCCCGTTCTAAGGGAAGGATATGCACTGTATGGGGGTTGGGTATTCCTACGCCATTTTGTTTGTGTTTTTTTTGTATATTTTGTATGTTTGTATGGAAAGCTTAAAAGATTTTATTCTTAAATAAATGTGTTAGGCTTTCATTTTTTTCATAATCTAACTATAACTTACGTTGACCTTCTTCCAGTTCCTTTTAATTTTAATAGCAATAACTAAGAAATGAGTTTATATGTATTACTGTATATCTTCCATTTCTTGAAGTTAAAGGACTGAAGTCATTGCTGAGAAAAAAATGTGTTCATAATGTATATTGTGAAGAAAACCCCCACCCATTTATACCATAATGCTCTTCTTACCTTACAGGCACTATTCTCAGGAGACGTTGGCTTTTTCCCAGTTCTGGAAGACTTGGTGGATGGAGAGTATTCCGAGGCTCCTGTCATACACCTCAAGTTATGAAGACTGCTGAGATATTTTTTTCTAAGTGCTAATAGATCCTGGAGGTATTGCAGGAAGTCCTGTGTCTTGGCAAACATCCATGCGGAGTCTTCATCTTTGAAGTGGCAGCATCCGGTCACCTCAATATTGGTGGTACTTTTGTACTTTTTTAGAGACCCGATGATAGTCTGTTTTCCACCTCCCACCACATACATGGAAGTGCTGCGCACAAGGCGTACCGGTGATAGGGTGCCATTGTGTGATGGGTCACTGTCCACAAGATCCCGACTGCAGGAGTTTGGATGAAGGGCTGATTGGATTTTCTTTAGCATATTTTTCTTTGTATAGTATGGAATATTTTTTTTTTTAAATCCAAGTTACATGTGTACAGCCTTCTGACTTAATTCAACCCTTCTCAGCAAGCACTGGCAAATTTAAGTCAAAGTATGAAGAAGTCTGGCACTTATGATTGTAAATTTGGTTCATCCATCCATGGACTTCTGCAGCGAATGCACAATTCTTCATCAGAAACTATTTCTAATAGAAAAAGAAAATGAAAAATAAATAAATAAAAAAACTACAGCTAGTATACTTCTTGACCCAGCATCTTATGAGGATTCTGCAAAGGTAGACAGTCCGGACACAAAGACCCATCACTGATACAGTCTGTGGCAGAGGTTCTCAAGTTTTTTCGCCATGGTAACAGAAAAGCACAAGGATATCTGGTGTCCACCTATTGTCAGGAAAGCGGTAGAGTCAGATAACCAAATGCAACTTACACTTTACAGAAATCTGAGCCGGAAATTCTCTGCAGTAGTTAATTTATTACACAGGTGGAGAATGTGGCTACGCGCTAACCCGGACTACACAGGTTAATTTCCTAAAGCTGAACTCCAGGCAGACAAATAAAAACACCAATTTAAGTGGTTGTATAAATAAAAAAATTCATATGCAATTTTAAAGGTAAAGAGTGTGCAAACCTTAACCTTGATATCAGGTTTCTGTAACACCCTGAGCCAGAACATTGCACCAGCAATCCACTGATCCATTGATCGCAGTTGCAATGCTTTACTGGCTCCAATGCAGAAAAAAAATTCATAAATGTATATTTTCTTCTATTATGAAGATGTGTGCATTGATTATTGTGGCAGCACAGTGGCTTAGGGGTTAGCATATCTGCAGCACTAGGGTCCCCGGGTTAAAAACACCCGGTCAGGACACTATCTGCAAGGAGTTTGCATCATCCCCCCATGTTTGCATTGGTTTCCTCCCACACTCCAAACACATGCTTGAAGTAAAATTGGCCCTGTATGTATGCATTTGAGATAGAAACCTTAGAATATAAGCTCCTTGAGGGCAGGGACTTGTGGGCACTATATAAATACCTGTAATAAATAAATAAATATCTCTAATAGGTGGACTTTGCCTTTAAGGCACGCACTAATAAAGGTACAGCAGAATGTTCATACACAGGGAGATGGATATAATGGCAGCTAAAAGAATCCCTGCTATCTTGTTCATTCCCCTGAAGTGTTAAAACGTAACAGCTACCAATCATGTGACCTAATGCCTAGGCATTGGGCTATTCATCCCCTAGATCTGGTAGTTTCACCCTGCTTTGTCATCATGTATCTTAGTCATCCACGCCTAGAGGTCTATTTTTTTTTTCAGATCTAGAGGTCTATTTATAAACAATTTGCAGAAATATTCTCCCTCCAAATCGCTGAACGTTCATTCTGTGGGAATAAAGACAAAAACGAACATTCTTTGTAAATTCTCTTTTCAGGTTAAAAGCTAAAACCTCAATTTGGCCACTAGATGGAGCTGAGGAGCATATGAGATAAGTATATTTATTGCTTAAGATGCTACTCAGCTCCATCTAGTGACCATAATGCAGTATTACATTGTGTGATATTACATTTAACCTGCAAAGAAAATATACTAAGAACAAACGTTTTTGCCTCTGCTCACATAGGACGTACGTTCACAGAGATTCACATGGTGAATGACTGCAAATTGTTTATTAATAGATCCCATACTGTATGTGAACCAGCTAAAAAGGTACAAACTGATGAAAAAATATATTTATTGCGGGAGCTCTCTGATAGTCATATGTAATCAAAATAGGAAATCCAGTATTCCAAATGGAAATGTTATTAGTTTGAATACAGCTACATCCTACATAATTTATCATGTATACAATGAAAGAACAAAGCTAGTCACTAAGAGTCCTGTAATCATGATGTCACTATATAATTAATGTAGACAGAGGAGAAACTGAGATCATTCATTTACATGCAGTGCTTTTAAACCAGCTGTACATTCACACAGTGCTTTTATACAATATACCAGCTGTACATTCACGCATCCCTTTAAATACATTATACATTCACGCAGTGCTTTTAAACAACATACCAGCTATAAATACACCAATACACTTATACAGTATATGATCCAATAAGTAGTCCCATGTCATTTTATTGCTTCTATGTTCAGTAACAAACATTAGGCCCAATTCACAAAGAAAAGGATCTTTATTTTAACCATGTGACCTTAGTTTTAAAATCTTATTGGTCGCTGGAAAGAACTGTCACTTTTTTAAAATAAGGATCCTTATGCTGGTAGGTTTGCTTTGTGAACTGAGTCTCTTGTGTTTAATTTTTCTATGCAAGATAGTTTGGTGCCCTTGCAAAATAATAACTGAGTTCAAGCTGGACTTCAGGCAACCAGCTAAATACACAAATAAAATACATAAAAAGGGCGTGTTTTACCTGCCGACAGATTTGCATTTTTTCCTTCCAGTCCTGAGATGTATAAAACCGGAAGGGGCAGGAGACCTGATTTTTATGTGCTGCAGTTAAGCACCATTCACAGGTCTTGTCCCTCCCCTAGCCTGTGACTGGATAGTGCAAAGAAAAGCAGCAGACTGAGAAGCACATCTCGCTGCTTTCTCCACCTTTCAGCATGTCTCTTGTTAACACATGGCCACTGCAGCACAACTGACTGGCTCCTCATGGTTAGTAATCATTGAACAGGTTTGTGAATGGTGTTCAAGTTTTGGCAAATGCAAACTTTGTGGGGGAATCCCATTGATGTCTATGGGGAAGAATATTGATGTTTAACTTGATGTTCAAAAGTAAGCTATGATCATACAAAAAGCATGGGAAGATAGGCATGGCCATGGGGGACATCAACCAATGCAAGAAAATACAGTTAAGCGGGAAGAGGGCCTTTTTAATAAGGTGGCATTGAAAATACATAAATCTATTAAATGACAGGCCTTGGGCATTGTATGTGGTGTTTTGGGACAGCACAATATTTTCAGATAGCCTCAGTGAATCTGGCAGCGCATATCTGGCTGTGGAACTGATTTCTATCTGGCATAGTTAGCTTGGCTTACCTCCAGTATAACAGCAACACCCCAATCTGATTCATTTATGTTTTTCTAGCGTCAAAACATGATTTCATCAAGCGGTACTAAGCCTGCTTTGACTGATGAAGTAACAGTCACAACAGAGCTAAGGCCCCGAGCACCTGGGCCTATACAATGTAAAATTTGGACAAATCTCCCCACCCGGGAGCCATTGTTGGTGCATACTGTTGCCCAATGGCTTATCACCAGCTTTACAGCAAGGTGCACATGGAAGGGCTTTATACAGTACAACAGCAAAAGGTTTTCCAGCACACTCACCAGCCAGCATGCAAAAAATCCTGTTTACTATGAGAGTCTCCATCTTGGACCACATGTAGCAAAAGATAAAATTGGGTGCAGGTTTGCCAGGAGGCCCTTCCATATGCACCTTGCTGTAAAGCTTGTGATAAGTTGATGAGTGCGTTTGCCATTTGTTTTGCTTGTCTGATTTTGTGCAGTGGCGCATTGGCGGTCTCAGCTGCCATTGTGATGTGCGTCCCTGTGCCTTTAAAGGCGGTTGGGCTGCCTCCTGGAAAACCTGCACCCAATTTTATCTTTTGCTACATGTGCTCCAAGATGGAAACTCAATAGGTAAGAGTTAGGACCGCACTATATAGAGGTGCCTTGGCGAGGCGGTGCGGCTTTCACATTTTCTGCAGAAGACGTGTATCTAAAATCTCTGTTTTTAACCTCAGCGGTGAGACAAGTTTTTTTGCATGCTGGCTGGTGAGTGTGCTGGGAAACTTTTTGTTGTGGTGCTGTAAAGAATCTGCCTAACAATGAACTATAATGCAGTAAAGTGACAGCAGGTACAACACATCAAAAGAAGACACTGATGCACAAGTCAGCTAGCTTTTCCTCCATGGGTTCTATTTTTCAACAACAGCTTTAATTTAAGATTCACACATTTTTTCCACCCAGGGATCAATAAAAAAAAAATGTGTTTTTGGTGAAAGTTGTGGGAATCTTGAGTGAAAACATTGATAAATAGAACCCTCCCTCTGGGTCAATCATTTCATACAGGCACCCAGAAATTCACCTTGGTTAGTATTGATGATATCGGTCATTGAAATCATCATCAATACTAACACACATTATACATTGATATCTTATTCTGTGACCTGACATACATATCAATATCCACTAGATGGCGATATATGACAATGACTGGTCCAGATTATTCTTTAAGCAGACCCAGCCACATCCATGTACCAGAATGAAGCAAATATGTGGATTTTGACAGAAGGAGCCGAGTCATCACTGCCAGGGTCTAGTAAACAGAACATCAGCTGCAGAATGGCTGCTTCCACCAACGCTTAATCACACAGGTGTTTTGTTCTGTGACACTGCTCCTTTAGGAAAATGTTTGAAGCGGCTGCATTTTATTTGCTACCCCAAAGCTGAAAATACCGAGCTGTAAATGGTATATTTAGTCTATTGAGAAAGCCAATAGTTGGTCTCAGTTTAATGGCAATATGTCTCAGGAGCCCGACGTTCTGCTGCAAATAATAGGAAATGTTTCCACTGAGTTTATATTCTATTTACAGTAAACTCCCCATTACCCGGCATCCACAGGGATTGGTAGATTTCAGATCAATGTAGTTTCTGGTTGCTTGAGAGTTACTATTAAAAATAGCTTTAACTAATGCATACCCCATTCTATACCATATCATAACATAAACTCTGTATTGACTTCCTATTAATATTGAAATGCAGAAATCAAGAGCAAATTAAGACAAATAGACACATGATTATTTCCAGGATAATACATGCGGCAGAACAGTGAGTACACAGGGGATTTTTTTTCTGGTTCGATGAGAGTTCTGGTTAGTTGAATACCGGATAACTGAGAGTTTACTGCATATTTCAGTAGTGTAATTCTCAATGAGACTTTTTCTACAAGCATGATCTCACATAGGT